TTAAATTTTTTGTACGGTTAAACAAATAGTACACTTAGCAAGTACTTTGATGTCACTGGCTTGCTTAAATTTTAGTTCATTTCGTTTTTTAAGTGTGACTTTATAACAATTTAGTTTTTTATAACAACTTCATTTGCTTTTTCAAAATTTGCTTATGCAAAGTTTATAAAGCAGTCTTTCTTCTATTAAATACCAACTGCTCAGCAGCAAATTATTCTGAAGGTTAAGTGAATATTAAGGTAAGACTAATCTTAGATGACAGTAACTTAACCAGGTTGCAATCTTAATCTTGGCACAACTTTTAAAACTGGAGGTATAACTTGGTTCTAGTATGACAGATAAACAAAGGTGTAAAGTTAGGTGTAGAATCAGATGGCTTAATGTAAGACCGATCATTACAAAGCTGAATAAACAATCGCGAGTTGGGCATACAAAAAAAAAACCTTTAGAAAAAATTAGAAATTTTTGTAAGTCGGTTAAGCTGATGTGAAGTCGGTAAGAAGCTCAAAAGCAGAAAATTTTGTTTGATTTGTATAGTTCCGCAACTGAATCACTGGGAACCAACCGGTGAATCAATAAGTTTGCACTTGTTTTGTTATCTAGAAAAAAATACTGCAACTTTATTTATGATAACTTTTAATGCATCTATTAAAGTTCTGATAGCACCAATAATCAATTCAAAAATTTTCAGTGTTATTTTAATCTTTTCATCAATAATTATGTGACAGGTATATAATAAATTCTAAAGAAGTTTTTTTATTGGTAGCGCCTAGCAAAGGTAATAGTTTCAAAAAAAAGTATTTTGGTGAAAATGTGGTTTACCGGAAATGATAGCAAACAGAAAATAAAATTATATTCATTTTTTTAGTAATCCACAGTTATTCAAAATTTTAATTTGTCAGTCGTACAGCTCAAATGTCTGATCAAATCGGAAAAAAAATGCTTTGACCATTTTTTATCACTTAAACGAAATTTATTTTTACTGATTACTTCATTTTGGTAGACCAATACTTTAAATACTTTTTGGGTAATTCACTTACGGAACTGCCACAAACCATAAACAGACAAATATTTCTTTCTTTTGTGAAACAAAGAAGCAGAAAAAAAATTTTTAGAATCAAACATTTGTCATTAATACTATCGCAAACTAAAAAAAATATTTAACGTTTTCAAAAAGAAACTTCTTCTTTTGTTGATTCACTTCTTACCCTTTTATATCATGCGACTTTTGTCTTCATCAGTGATTTTTTGCATCTTTTATTAACTGCTTTTTTTTTTTTTTAGCACAGTTTGACTACTATTTAGGCCAAGTTTTGGTAATGATAATAAGAGAATCGTAAATTATTCTTTCATTGGTTTCAGTGCTGCTTATTAATTTTTCACATTTAGAACAAAATGTTTCCGCTGTTCAAACGACCAGTAAACTCGCCGTCGCAATGCAGTAACAAAAACCTTGCAATCATTATTTATCAGGTTATTCCTATATTTCTATCTGTTTCAGAATCACTCAAGAAATCTGATGATACTACAAAAGTTTTGTTTTGAAAACACTTGAACAGCTGCAACAGTGTGATGATACAGCAATGTTCTATAACAAATTTTTTGCAATAGCAATTTCGTATTTTGTAAAACCTTTCAAAAGTATAGCATAGCAGTAAAATTCTAAGCTTTCAATATATTGTATAACTCTATGACTTTTTTTTTTTTAATGACAAAATATTTTTTAAGTAAAAAATATGTAATGCACTGTTGCTGAGTTTTTTAGGGGATAGTAAAAAACGATGTGGAGATGTCAAGTCGAATAATCATTGAAAATTCGCAACAACTATTTAGTGGAATTAAATTTGATGTAATCTGTATGCAAGGCATATTCAGTTATACAGTTCACTCAAAAGCCTACTGTGAAATTACCAAAGATGATATTACTTGTTTAATGTTTCGATAACAATAATTTATGTGACAAGTTGCCAGGAAACCTTTTTTTGATCTTTTCAAATGTGTAATGAATGTTATGCCTAAATATGCTTTGTTTGGCCCATATCTTTGCAAAACATTTTTGAAGGTCTATAGAACAACGCTGTTCGGTCTTGTTACTGTTTTTGTCTAAAGCGGTAATACAATTATACTAATATCATCAAAACGATGGAAACAAAAAAATTCTGGTCAAACAATTTTCAATTTTTGTCAATCAATCATCAATTATGCTCTGCCAATTGTGGAAAGAACAAAAGAGCGATAACAAAATTAGCGATGTCATTGTCAGTAATATTTGTATTACAAAACTTAATTAGCTGTTTTTCGCCACTATTGAACAGAGATCAAAAAATTAAACTTATGCCTGCATAAGACTTAAAATAACAGTGTTTAATAGAAAATTTAGTTTAGAGGCAAGCAAAAAAAAAACATTTGTTATCATTTTTGTTCTGAACAAAAAAAGAGGTCATATTGGTTAGCGGATCTGTTTGATTGTTAGTTTTTGAACAGTTCTAATGTGAGTAGGTCTCTCTCTTTGCTTGTAGATCAATCATTCTTGAAAGAAATTTTTTTTACAAGTTTATTTGGTTAAAAACAACATAAAGCGGTAGTTGGGTTTTGTTCTATTCAACTTTGATGATCGCTTGCTTTATTGTCAAAAAAAAAGATGATGAACTCAAAGTGCTAACGGAAGGTCTATAAAATAAAACAGTTTATTTGTGAAAAAAATCCACATTAAATTGTTGCGCAACTGCTGAAAGAAGTTGCGAGTACTTTTTTTTGCACAAAAAACTTACAGAAATCAAATGTAAAAGTAAATAGCGGAGGAACTGATAAAATTGTCTAGTAAAAAAAAAAAAGAAAAATAATGCTTTTCACCGACGATATCTTTTGATACTTCGTTATTGTTCCTATTTTAAAGAATTTCAAATGCAAAAAAAGTGACAGAAAAGAGGCAAAAAAAAGTGCCATTTTTTGTTGTAATTCTTTAGCTTTTTTCTATAAAAAAAGTTTTTTGATCTTGACAAAAGTCTTACTTTTGAAAGTCTGTTAAGAAATTTTTTTTTGACTAGAACTTTAAACTTAGTAATAAGGAGGTAAATTTTTTATCACGCATATTAGTTTTTAAACTATGTTCAATGAACATAGTTTGATCAAGTTTTCAATGCTGTCAACTGAAATTTTCATGAGTAATTAATTAGCTTAGAAACTATTCAAACGTCAGCATAGTTTTATTATTTCTTCATTATCGTATTATCATCTACAATAAAAAAAAATTCTTTTTTGCTCTCGAGTATAGTGTAGATTTTTTTAATTGTTCTACAAATATATAGCCATATAATAATCAAAAAATTTTTGCAAATAAGTAATCAGTAGGATACAAATATTGCTGTATAATTCTTTTTTTTAGATGTACACTGCCTTAAAAAAGTAAACGTAGTAAGATAAAAAAAAATTTCAACTCTGAGACTTCAGTTTTATAGTCTTCTGATTTTTTTTTTTGCTACTTTATCCTGTTTTCAGATGTTCAGTTTGCACATCAGCTCTGTGATAGCTTTCAAAAAAAAGATCTGTTGTTGCCAAACTTTATAAATTATATTTGGAACACTGATTATTTGCTAATTAAACTTCTAACTACTAATTGTTGTTGTAGTCATTCGTCTAAGAAAAATCAACATATGGCTGAACAAAATTTTTGGTTTTTTTTTTTCAATCTTCACTTTTAGAATAAGTTTTGGTTTCTGTAGTTATACAACAAAAAAAGCAGTGTCAACGAGTATTGCCTTGAAAGATAAATTAAAAAACGATGATTTCAAAAAAGTTGTAATCTCTTAGAAGTGGATGGCAAAATTTAAGTTGTTTTGCTAAATCGTTTGAATGAGTATTAAAATGAAATTTTGAAACAACTTATTGCTGAATGGTTTAACAGAAATCAGAATTGAAAACTT